CAAGCAGGACCGGGAATGCTGAGGCCAGGGGCCTGGCTGGCTCACAAGCATGGGGCTGAAGTCTCTGGAAACCTCAGTGGGGTAGGACCTGGAGGGGAGGGAGAGGGACTGACCTCACCTCCCTAAGAAGGTGGAAACAGGTTCCTCACCTGGCAGCAGTGTTGGAAGGGTAGATGGAACACAGAATAAAGAGAAGAGTTTGGAAAGCAGTGACAACAAACCAACAATAAAAACTGGATCTGAATTTCTCTGCTCTCATTACCTCTGTAACCTTGAAATTTCTTCTTTGAGGTTCAATTTCTTGAAAAAGAAATAGGGCAATAACAGCCTCTCCCCCAGTATGGTTCCATGAGAATTCACTGACGCTGCACCACCCGGCACAGTGACCAAGCACACAGATGTGAGCAGAACACAACAGCTTCAGTTATGGTCACTATCACAAGTGATTAGAAATGGAGAATGATGGTGGCACTCCAACCACCCAAAACTGGCACCACATGAGGAAGACAGGAAGTCAGAGGCTGGCAAAAGGGAATGAACAAAGCTGTGAACTCTCAGAGATCAGTCACACTTCTCCCCTCAGGGATGGTGTTGTTGGGCAATTGTCACACCCTTCCTAAGATTTCTAGTAACAGCAAGACCCAGGTTCTTCCCCAGGCACTTTGAACCACAGAAAAGCTTTGCACCAGGGACAGTGCTAGAATAAGGCAGGAGCTGGGAAGATGAGCTTCTAACTTCATTTGGGATGATTAACCGTTCCCTAAAAGATAAGTAACCCAACCCCAAGTGGAATCCCTTCCTGTCTGTCCTGGCAATGCATTTGCCATTTTCAAAAACAAAAACCATTCCCTGAATAATTCATTATTCAAAGGAAACATCAGCCCAGAGTGCTCTACTCCATTTATTCTGGCATAAGCACTAATCTTGATCCCTGTGTATGTTTCTGAAAAGGATCCACATGAGAAATCACTTTTTAAAACGTCAATATCCGAGAAGGCAAGCAGAGTTTAAAAGGGCCATAATTCATAAATCAATGATGCCACACTTGAGGAAGTGTTCTGCATCGACTGGTCAACAATTCCATTTGCAGCAAGTTGAAACATCTGCGGCTCCCTGGGTCTCCAGCCAGGGTCCCAGGGCTGCTGCCCCTCAATAATGAGGCAAAGTTTCGGCGACAGTTAGAATCATGTTCTTTGGGATTCAGGCACTGAGGTGTAGGATTACTGTGGGTTTTATCTAAATCTATTAGTTTCTGTTAATGCACCAATAACCAATCTGAAGCAGGCAAAACCCCAATGATTTACAGTCATGACTCAGCACCCTTTTTGCCTGGCTGTTAAGCAAGACTGTTCATAAGTCCTCATCCTTCACAGGCACCTGCACAGGTTTTGGCTGAGCCCAAATCCTGGATGCAAACCTAGTGTTTCCTCAGTATCCATCAAGGGAGTTGGTCCCAGGACCCATCCCCGCCTCACCCAGGGGACAGCACAACCCACACCTGCTCGAACCCCATCATTGGCCTTGTGTACCCACAGGCTGCACATCCATGGGTCCCACATCTGCAGACTCAATCAACTGCAGGCTGTGCACTGTGCTTCCAACCTGTAGTTGGGTGAACCTGCACATGCAGAACCCACAGATACTGATCCTATGGATACTGGGGGCCAACTGTATCTGTGGGGAAATTTAAACAATTGTTGCTATTATTGATGGTTCCTAATGGCCTCAACCAAAATGCATGGTTGTTGGCGTTAATCAGAGCTGTGGAAACAGAACCACACACATGGCATTGGCTAGCTGCCCACATATACTTATTCAGAAGTAAAAGGAAGAGCATTAGGCAGAAAATCAGTAAGTGGAGGCGGCCTTGTAAGAGTTGCTTTTTGACACAAACCCCACACTGCTGGAGGAAAACAGGTTGAAGCTATTGATCAGGAATTCTGTGGCACAGAAACCAAAGAACACCTGTGAGCTCTCAGGGTGCCCAAAGTGCAAGGCTTGGGGGAAGTTGAGATACAATTTCTTCTTCCTTCTTCCTCTCTCAGCTTGCTTCCCTTCCCCGGGGCTGTCTAACCAAACACAGAACACAGGCTCATGATGGAAAAAAGAGATCAAGCGAGAAAGAAGAGCAGAAGCCCAGGAAAAAGACCAAGAGCCAATGGGATTCAGAGTTGCACCTCTTCACTGCTCATCCAAACAACAAAGAGGAAGGATCCCTCATAGCTCTCTCAGTCGTCAAAGAGCTTTCAAGTACATTTTAGGTGTTGAATACCTCTTGGGTGACCTGTTCTAAATCTATTCTGGAACAAGGAAAGGTAAATTATACCACATACTATTTATCAGTGTTTGTGATGGATGGATGGATATATTAATAAGAGTTATGTCATGCAATCCTAAAAAAGAATTATGGGATTATTGGAAGATAACCCTGTTTTATAAGTGGAAAGCCTAGGCACAGAAATTTCCCAAGAAAACACAGTGAGCAAGTGGTAGAAGTGGGACATGAACTTGGGTAGTCTAGTCCACTCTCCAGTGGAATAAGCTAAATAGAGGTGAAGAGATGTGGGGGGGTGTTTCCTAGCTTTGTGTTTAGGATAGTGAAGGGAAGTACTAGTGACAATAACACATAACATTCACTGAGTCCTTACAGTGAGTGAGTCAACTGAGCCCCTTCAGTTATGTGGTCATATAACCCCTATGGGGTAGGAACCCTTATCTTCATTTCATGGATGAGAAAACTAAGGCCCAGAAAGGTCCTCCAGCGGGCTTGTATGACAACCAGGCTTCCCATCCATACAGCTGGGGTGGGAGTCTACACTCTCAACCAGGGAGCTCTGCTGGAATTGGCTCTGGCCATGAGTATCTGAGTTTTAGCACTGCTCTGATATCAGCAAGGACAGACCTGAGCACAGGTACCTCACACCTAGACCAGGCTGCCTTCAAGGAAAGTACAACTGCTCTGCAAAGCTACCCATAAAGATGTGGAGTTAAATTAGCTATCAGGATTTAATTCAGCAGGTATTTTTTGGGGTTTCTATTTGGTTACTTAATTGACTCCATTCTTCAAGAAAAAAATTAAAGAAACAAAGGACTTAGAGAAATTAGGGCATTATAAAAATACTGTGTATGTGGATCCTAATGAGCCAAAGGGGTACTTAAAAGAAGGAAACAAGACCTCTTGGGCTCAAGACTGGGCTGACAGGCTGCTATATGGGCTCCACTGGGCAAAGGGCTCTGAACTGGTTCCTCCACCTGCTCAGTTGTGGCATTTCCCCTATTGGAAGGCTGAGAGCCAGACTTATGGCTCCTGAGGTCTTTTCCTTATCTAGGGTGAGTTATTCCAAGTAGTGGATTTCAGTCTTTCAGTAGCAGGATCCTCTTTATCGGAAAATCCAATATCTACTAAAATGGAAAGAGGGAACAGATCTAGAGGGAATGGGGGATGAGGGCCAGCAGAGTGTAGGCCACCATGACCTACCCCAGCTATTTCCATAATAGGTCATGGGCATTTCTACAAGCCAATTTATAAACATCCCCTTGTCAACAAATTGAGCTGAATGTTGATGACAAAAGGGGAGAGAGGTTAACTTGGCCTATTCAGAAGGCCAGATGCTTTTATTGTTGCTGTTGTTCAGTCATTAAGTCATGCCCAACTCTTTCTGACCTCATAGACGCCAGGCTTTCCTGTCCTTCATTATCTCCTGGAGTTTGCTCAGATTCATGTCCATTGAGTCAGCAATGCTATCTAACCATTTCAGCCTCTGCACCCCTCTTCTCCTCTTCCCTTCAGTCTTTCCCAGCATCCACATCTTTTCCAATGAGTTGGTTCTTCACATGAGGTGGCCAGAGTATTGGAACTTTAGCTTTACCATCAATCCTTCCAATNCTGTTGTTCAGTCATTAAGTCACGCCCAACTCTTTCTGACCTCATAGACGCCAGGCTTTCCTGTCCTTCACTATCTCCTGGAGTTTGCTCAGATTCATGTCCATTGAGTCAGCAATGCTATCTAACCATTTCAGCCTCTGCACCCCTCTTCTCCTCTTCCCTTCAGTCTTTCCCAGCATCCACATCTTTTCCAATGAGTTGGTTCTTCACATGAGGTGGCCAGAGTATTGGAACTTTAGCTTTACCATCAATCCTTCCAATGAATATTCAGGGTTAATTTCCTTTAGGATTAACTGGTTTAATTCCCTTGCTGTCCATGGGACCCTCAAGAGTCTTCTTCAGCACCACAATTTGAAAGCATCAAATCTTTGGACACTCAGCCTTCTTTATGGTCCAACTTTCACATCTGTACATGACTACTGGAAAAATGACAGCTTTGACTATATGGAATATGGTCAAATACATATTTGTTTTTAATAGATGCTTTTATAGTGGTCTTGAATTTAGTACAGGTCTCATGTCTTCTGGGATTGTCCCCCAATCCCTTCCCCACCCCCACCCCTCAACCACCATCACCACCGTCTGGGCGAGAGGAGTAAGCTGCTTGGCTAAAAAATCAGCAACCTTGAAAACTTCCAAGGAAGGCACTGAGAGAGATACAAAGTGTGTTCACAAATCAATTTCCCAATGCCCAAAGCTTAGTACATCCCTCCACAAGCATGATAGCCTTCAAAGTCTGCAGAAGATTAAAAAGGAACAGAAAAAAGTAGAAGGTTACCCAAGGTTGCAAGCACAATGGCCAGAATGTGTGTAAATACTGGAGTGGCCCTGTGCTGCTTTGGATCCCCTGATATAATGGCCATTTCCTGGAGCCCCATTTCCTCTCATTGTGTTTCAGTGGAACAACAACGTTATAGTGAGAAGCTGCTCAGTCACATAGGTTATTTTAATAGATACATCCTACAAGCCTTGAAAACCTGTTCTAGGCACTGATAACAGGGCTAAATATATCACAAGCTCAACAGTGAATTTGAGAATCAAAAACTGTGAGATTGGAACACACACGTGTGTGTTTTTTCTCAGCGCATCCTGCAAGTTTTCTCACATTCTGGCCCCCTCACACAGGATCCTTCCCGCTGAAACCTGGTTTAAACCACTGCTCTCCAGCAACGCTGGAGAATTTTGTTGCGTTGATTTATCTCTTTAGCATCCCTCATTCAGCTGCACATCTGAACTGAAGGCTGAAGGACAGTGCTGTCATTTATGGATATGTGTATTTTTGCAAATATAAACACACAGGAGAAAACACTGAAGACCTAGTTACAAGGCGGCCATCACAAAGGCTGATCCACAAACGATTTGGGAGCCCTGCCCAGATCTATAATTCACGGCTGCTCTTGGGATTTCCACTTTCAAGATCAGAGACAAATCAGTGGCATCCCAGGTGGTTGATCAAAGTTCTCCTTTCCTTCCTATCCCTCTAACATGAGCAAATGCTACCATTTGGGTGTTGGATTTGTAAAGCTAATCTACAGACAAAGGTTGTCACTGCCTTCAGAAAGACAATGATACATTTAAAAATATATATATATCCAAGCCTTTTAGAAAACACAGATTTATAAACAGCAATATTGCTGGCAAAATATCTCAAAGCAGTGATTCTCAACCCTGACTGCTCATTAGAAATATCTGGCAGTAGGGGTACCCTCAACTGTTCCTGCCTCCTCCAGGTGGTTCTCATGGGCAGATGGGTCTTAAGTGAAAACAGATCTTTGGCGCGATGCTTTGGCAGAAATTTAAGTCCGTGGTTCTTCATTTTGGTTGCGTATTAGAATCCGAAGAAAAAAATTTTAAAACATCAATGCCTGGGACTCACCTCTCCAATGATCCCGAATTAATACGGGATGGGGCTGAGCCTTGACATTTGAAAACTGTTTTGAGAATTCAGTCATGGTTGAGGACCACTAGTCTAAGTCACTGCACCTCTCTGATTCAGTTATCCTTAAACACACAAAGATAGAGAACTCAGGAAATCTATCCTCAGACATTTCTCCAGGCCTAAAAATCCAAAGAACAGCAATACTTTGCCTACCTTAAATAGGAAATAAGTAATAACGGCATCTGAGTGAACAACTGAATTTGATGTCATGATGCCCACATATATCCCTTTCAGGCTGAGTATCCCTTGGGTCCTCATGGGCAGCTTGTTCATTTCATTTCACACACTGTTGAAACAAAATCATTTATCTGGTTTCTAAACCAACAGCAGATTAGAATCACACAAATTAGAAGTGATAGAGGGGGCAGGTAGAAAAGAGGAGAGAGACTATTAGAAGCAGGTCCCCTGACTGCAGTGAGAAGTGAGTGCTAATATAGGGAAGAGACAGAAAAACTGAAATCAGTAGACACAGCACAAAAAAAGCATGAAAGTCAGAGTTCATTAATGAAAGGACACTGTAGACATCAAGGTGCCACATCACTGATAATCCTAAGAATAGCCCAGAGTCACTCAGAACAAGTTAAATTATGTTCATGATAACCTGGTTATAGAAGCTGAAATATAGGTGATGACTTCCCTCAAAAATAGTAATAATAAACAGCAAGTATGATAGAACAGATAAATCTTGAGCTATTTGGAAACTGCTGCCACCCAGAATAACTCATTTCCTGAAGCTCCCAGGTAGCCACAGACTTCTGTAGGAGACCTTTTAGTAGGAAGAGCTTCAGCTTGACCAAGAAGAGATCTGCCTCCCTATGGGAGTCAGGAGACAGTGAGATCTGAGACAGGGAAATGGTCATGGATGTTCCTGATGCTTGGGCTTTCTAGGAACCAGGGCACAGACACAATCCTCTGAGCTTTCACTGAAAACAGGCACAGCTGAGCACTGGGGCATCCTTCCTGGCTGGTAGGACCTGATTGCTCTAGGTGGGCCTCCCATTAAATGTACCTCCAACGCACAGGGTCTCCATGCCTGCCATTCGTTGTTGAGAATGTCCACACTAACCACAATCCAGACAGTTCTTTTAAATGCAAAGTCCTGGGATGGATAATACCCGAATTCTGACCACTCAGCCAATTCATCAGCCCACTTCTGTTTATACTGTAAGGCCCTGGTTTTCACATCCTCCCCCCCTAACCCCCGACAATGAAATATGGAACACAAATATATTACAAAGATAAAATGGGGCACCCATGACCGAAGGACTCTTGGTAGCTGAAGCCCTGTTACTACTCCCTCCCATCAAAATTCCATGAAACACCCAGTTAGGAAGCCATTTGGCAAGGACCCTCCAGGCCCCCCACCCCAGACCCCCACCCAGAGGCTCAGTCCTGCTCTGTGGCCAACAGTGCCCAGTGTGGATTGCTAGTGTGGAGCCCCCGGCTGCTATTCTGGTACAGGTGAGAATGCCCTCCTAACATTTTATTCTACTAGGCTTTTCATTTGTTCCCCACATTCATCCTCAAGCCTATCTGTGTCTGCTAATTGAGCTCTTGTACCTTGAATCTCATTTTGACAAGCTCCTAAGTCTAGGCCTATTAGCACACAGACATCAAGAAGCGCCCACCAGCAGCTTTGCTCCCAGCAAAGTGTACAAACCACAGCCGGACTCCCCCCAGCTAGGGGGGGACAGCACCTCACTTCCAAATGACCTGATGCAGAATTTTCTAAACCCATCAGTGGGTAATTCACTATTGGATGTGATAATAATTCTCTATTGGATGTGCAGGTTCCCAAACCCATGGGGTTCTAGTTCCTGTTGAAATCACCTGGGTTTTATCACGTGAACCAAAGCCTCAAGTGAACAGATGAGTTCACCTATGAACAGATGAGTTTGAGGTAAAACTGCCTCATGGTTACTATGAGGCTCAGAAACCAGAATGCCTGGGCTTGAATCCTGCTCTACTATCACGATGTCATTTTGTTCAAGTGACTTAAGCTGTCTGAGCCCTCAGTTTCTACACCTGTAAAGCAGAGGAGATGGCAGTGGCTGCCTTGCTGGATTGTTGGAAGATTAGGAAGACTAGAGGGTACACAAAACACTTCAAGCCCACCTGGCACATGGTAACCCCCAGGAAGGTTTGCTGCTATTGATAATGAACTTAGACATTTGCCACAAGCCCCCACCTTTGACTTCTCACACTAAATACTCTGCCTTCCCCATTGAACCTCCAGCACCCAAGATTACCCAGATCATGCCCTGAAGATCTGTCCCATTCCTGAGAGCAGCCTCCTTGGATCTACCTAGTCTGACTGCAGTGAAGTGGGTCAGGAGCAGATGAAATCTAAAAATAAAGAGGCTAAAAGGAGATATAAGCAGTAGGCAGAGAGAGACAGAGTGGGGAGTGATGATGGTGTACAGAACAGAAGATGTGGTAGGGACACACACTTCACTGATGTCACAGTTTTCTAGGAACCCCTGGAAGGTGGTTAAACAGCACCTATCACTTGAACTGTCTCTTCACTGTGATCCCTCTCCCACCCCCAGGGATGTTGGATGAATTCTACCATATGGCCAGATACACAGAGACACTGGGCAGTCCTGGAGAGCCTGGACTCCCTGGAATCCAGAGGACAGGAGCAGCACAGGGCATAAATAAATCACTGGAGGACCACAAGCCATGTCCCCTGTACATTATTTATTTCAACAAAGATCCCAGCAGGTGTCAGTGGAGGCCTCAGCTCGCTGGAGAGAAAGGGCATCTGTTTGGCCCTGTGATGAGCCAGCAGGGCTGTGAGACTCAGTGCCTGGGCGGCACTGCGGCAGCTTGGCCCCTGCAGCCGATCCCTAGAAGGTGCCGGGCACAGTCACAGGTGAGCAGGGAGATGGCTCAAGGAGACTTCATGGCACTGTCTCTATATTCATTACTCCAACAGACAGCAGGGCCAGGACTCCCAGCTACTCCCAGCTACCAGGTGCAGCTTGTGAAGCAGAGATCAGAGTTTTGTTTCTGGTTGAACCACTGACATCTGCTGTTCCTCCAGCTTCCCACAGATGTCCCAACCCCCCGCCCCCAACACCCCGCGGATGTCAATGGCTATCTCTCCATGCCACTGGCTCTGCAGGAAATTAACACCTGGAGTTCAGAAAACAAAATCAAAATCAACAAGTAATGTCTGAGTGACAATGAATAAGAATAGAGCACTTTTCAGTAAGACCCCTCCCATCTGCCCAGGAAGGGGACACCCTGACACTGTGACTCCGCATCCCATCAGTGGTCCCCAAATGTCTGCCAGTCACCTCCAACCATGGTTTTCACTCTCCATCCTTACCACTTACCTGTTTTTATTAAATATTTTATTTCTGAAGAACAACATTATCATACTACTTAGGAAGACTAGTATCATTGGCTATAAATAATTATTTTTTATGCAATGAACATAAAACAATATTCTTCCAAGGACTTCCTAAGTTTTCAAAGGGAGATAAATATTAGAGAGGTGTTAACTGACAATGAAACTATGAGCTATGCTGTGTGGGGCCACCCAAGACAGGCAGGTCATGGCAAAGAGTTCTGGCAAAACGTGGTCCACTGGAGAAGGGAATGGCAAACCACTTCAGTATTCTTGCCTTGAGAACCCCATGAACAGTATGAAAAAGGTATGACACTGAAAGATGAAATCCCCAGGTCAGTAGGTGCCCAATATGCTACTGGAGAAGAGTGGAGAAATAACTCCAGAAAGAATGAACAGACGGAGCCAAAGCAAAAAGAGCACCCAGATGTGGAGGTAACAGGTGATGGAAGTAAAGTCCGATGCTGTAAAGAGCAATATTGCATAGGAGCCTGGAATGTTAGGTCCATGAATCAAGGCAAATTGGAAGTGGTCAAACAGGAGATGGCAAGAGTGAAACTTGACATTTTAGGAATCAGCGAACTAAAATGGACTGGAATGGGTGAATTTAACTCAGATGACCATTATATCTACTACTGTGGGCAAGAATCCCTTAGAAGAAATGGAGTAGCCATCATAGTCAACAAAAGAGTC